ATACATGGTGTATTAGTCTAGTTAAAGATATTATCATACATGCCATCATCAACAGATAATTTTCCATTTTTGTGTCTCATAAATGTTTTGCTTCTTTCTTTTCCCCCTTGATTCCCTTCCTTTTATCCTCTCCCATTTCTCACCCTTCTTCCACACTGTCTCTAGATCCACAATTATTTTTCATGCTTTTTATCTTCCAGTCTTTCCGTTTCTGCCATAGAGTGCGGACATTCAGCATATATTAAATGGGACATACAATGTCTCTTTTTCATAGTCTGATTTGCTTCACTTAGCAGTTAATCTTTCACATTCATACACTTTCTATCAAATGCCATGGTCTTACTGATTTTTATGGTTGAGTAGTATTCCATAGTGTATATGTGCCACACTTTTTCAATCCATTCATCTGTTCATGGACATTTGAGTGGGTTCAATGTCTTAGCAATTGTGAATAATGCCACAGTAAACATGTAAGTGCATGTACTTTTCTAACAGAGTGTATTCCTATCCTTTGGGTAGATACCCAGGAGTGGAATTGCCGGATCATATGGTAGTTTTATCTTTAGGTCTTTGAGGAACCTCCATATTGCTCTCTACAGTGAATGCGCTGATTTACATTCCCACCAACAGTGTAGGTGAGTTTCCCTTTCACTACAGCTTCACCAGCACTTATCATTATTTTTTTTATTTTTAATTAAAAAAAATGTATTTACCTAACAGCATTCAGAATGTCAACAAAACAGCTTAATTTTTTTTTTTTTGCAATTACAGAGTGGTAGTCAGTTAACATAGTAAGAATTATTTCATATAAATTGCATCAGAGACATTTTGAAGTAGGTGAGATTCCATCTTGGAGGAGTGATTCCATCTTGGTGTAGTGCCTCCATTATAAACTATTAAATTCCTATGACTAATAACTCAGGGCTGAAAGCTGTCTAAGGTTTCTGTCCTCCAACAAACTTATTGCCCCTCCCTGGAGCTACAGGGTAACCTGAAAACCTTGGGTGGGTTAGTACCTTGAATAGATTAGTACTTTGAATGGATTAGTACCTTGAATGGATTGGCATCTTGAATAGATTAGATTTCCTTCTCCAACTCCTCCCTTAGGCACTGTAAGGTGGGATCTGAGCCCAATTCCCACCCTGAGACCTCCCTTTCCCCAATTCCCCCATAAAAGACTGTGTCCAATCCCCAGTTGGGACCAGAGATTTAGAGTGTTAACTCCTCCGTGTCCACTGGCATAATAAACAATTCTCCTCATCCTTCTGAGTGCTGCTTTCCATTCCTCAACATCTGGTTTTTTACAACAATCTGAAGATGAAAAAACTACCATCCCCATATATCTAATTTGTGCTGTGCACCAACAAGTTCCTACTTTAAACTTCCATTCCAAGTTCCTACTTTAAACTTCCCCATACTGTACCAGGCAAGGTTAGTGGCTATTGAAAATACCACCAGGACAGGATTATCTAAAGACACATTCAGTAATGTGTTAACTATTATCAAAAAAGATGTACAGTTTAAAAACAAAACTTACACAGCCTTGGGGACCAGCAGTTGGTGAAATGGCTATGTTGCTGGAATCCCATGTAGTCGACTGTGGTTCAAG